AGAAATGCTGAACGAGTTCGGCCCTTTTGATTTTCTGACTCTAGTTCCTCGCACATTTCATTGTAGTATTTTGCTTTGTCATTCCGTGCTGCCTTTTGGAATCTTCTGTTCAGCTCTTTAGTGTCTTGGATTCTTCCTTGTGCTTTGGCTTCTCTACGTTCCAGTGCAGTCTTCAGAGTTTCTTCTGACACCCATTTTGGTCTTTTCTTCCTCTTCTGTCTTTGTAATGACCACCTGCACTCTTCCTGAACGATACATTTAACATCCTCCCACAACTCATCTGGTCTTCGCTCATTAGTGTTCAAGGCCTCAAACCTGTTCCTGAGATGATTCTGAAATTCAGGTGGTATGAAATTAAAGTCATGTAAAACCATGTAAATACCTACTAGGATGTCAATATTTAGGCATCCCATTTTATTTTTTATAACCTTCAATTTTCCAAGATTCACATTTTGCACATTCCACATTCCATTTATTAGTAGTTGTTTGCAGCTGTTTTTCCTCATGTTGAGTCTTGTCACATCAGAAAATGAAGGTATTTAATTGGATGAAAGCTTTACTCCCTCCTTGTCATTAAGGTAGACTCTACTTTGAGGAAGCAGCTCTTCTTCAGTCACACTTTTAGTGCCTTTCAATCTTAAGAGCTCCTCTTCCTTTTTTTTCTTGGCAATCTATGGTATGTTCCGGACTCTTCTCCAGCATCACAACTCAAAGGCATCAATTCTCCTTCTGTCACCCTTGGTCAGCGTCAGACTCTCTAATGCACAGCAGGTAACTGTGAAGACCATAGCCTGGATCAGCTGCACCTTAGTCTCTATACTGACATTGTTATTTCTCAGTACGCTGGAAAGGTCCCTGAGAGCAGATTTTCCAAGCACAATTAATCTTTTGATTTCCTGACTGCTGGTGCCAAAAGTGTTAATTGTGGAGCCAAGCAAGCTGTAATTGTTAATCTCAATCTCTTCACCATCTAACATGGTGCTAAAAGACTAAGGTAAGCCTGATTCAAGCCATGGTCTTTTCAATTGCTTGCTGAGCATCTGAGAGCTGGACAATGATTAGGGATGACAGAGGAAGAATCAGTGTCTTTGAATTATGATATTGGAAAAGAATACTAAATATCCCACGGACTGCCAAAAGAACAAACAAATCTGTCTTGGACAATGTACAACCAGACTTCCACTTAGAGATACATCCTTGGAGGCAAGGAAGTGTAACTTTATTTTGAGCATACTGTTGGGAGGGGCCAGGCCTTGTAAAAGGATATTATTTTTGGAAAAGCAATTGGTTTTGTTGGGTGCTGTCGAGACAAGTACAACCCATAGTGACCCTATGAACTACAGAATTAAACCCTGTCCTATGCTGCGCCATCCTCACAATCTCTGATACACTCAAGCCCATTGCTGCAGATACTGTGTCAATCCATCTGGTCGAAGGTCTTCCTCTATTTCACTCACTCTGTTTTTCCAAGCAACAGCTCATCTTACAACATTCCTTAAGTATGTAAAGCTTTATCATCTTTGCCTCTAAGAAAAACTCTGGCGGCACTTTCTCCAAGACATATTTGTTTGTTCTTTCGGCAGTCTATGGGATATTCAGCACTCTGCTCCAACACCACAGCACAGAGGCATCCATTCATGTTCTGTCATCCTTATTCATTGTCCAGCTCTCAGATGTACAGCAAGTGATTGAAAAGGCCATGGCTGGAATCAGACGCACCTTCATCCTCTTGTATCTTTGCTCCTCAATAATTTGGAGAAATCTCTAACTGTAAAATTTCCCAGTTCAATATGTCTCCTAATTTCTTGACTGCTGGTAACAAGGGTATTTACTGATTTTAGATCTAACTAAAATGAAACTGTTGACAGTTCCAATCTTTTTCCACCTATCATAATATTGCCTGTTGAAAATGTGGAAGGTAAGACCCTCCACCAGATGGACTGACACAGTGCCTGTAACATTGGGCTCAAGTATATCAAAGATAATGAGGATGACGAAGGACAGGATAAGGATCAGAGCCACTGTTCATGGTATTGGTAGGATGGTATTAATAAGTTCAGAATTCTCTATATATGTATCAATTATACACCTATAGTTATTTTTCTTCAGCCTGCAAAACTAGTTACTTAGCCTCCTGAATTCTCTGTTTCCATTGCGCGAATATACCACAGCTTCTCTAGCCATTCGTTTGTTGATGGGCACTTAGGTTGTTTCCAACTCCTTGCTATTGTGAACAAAGCTGCAATAAACATGGGTGTGCATCTCTGTTTCCTATCTATAGTCATGTAAAGTAGTTTGATCTGTCTGTTTAACAGAAGAGGAAATGCTTCTATCCTAGATCCTGTTTACAGGAAGAGAACTGTGCCCTTCCTGAATTACTGATGCTTAAATGTGAACTGTTCTTTTCAGATGTAGAAATTACTTTTTTTTTTTAAATTACTTTTTTTAACTAACTAAAGTGCACTGTTAAATGAGCTAGTGTTTCACCCTAGTATAAAACCCAAGGACCACTCCCAGACAGGGAGGCAGTCTTGGAGGTGACTGTCTCCCAGATCTGCATAATAAAGTGCTTATGGATATTGGGGGGAAAAAGAGCTCATCTTCCAGCACTAGACCACTGTCTTCGAATTGTGAGACTGGCAAAGAGTACTGAATATCACATGGGCTGACAAAAGAACAAACAAATATGTCTTGGAGAAAGTGAAGCCAGAATGCTCCGAAAAGGTATAGACAGTGAAACTTTGTCTCACATACTTTGGGCATATTGTCAAGAATGGCCAGTCCTTGGAGAAAGACATTATGCTGGGAAAGGTGGAGGGTCAGAGAAAGAAGAAGATCCTTAACTAGATGGACTGACAAGTGCCTATGATAACAGACTTGATAAGCGTAGCACAGATTAAAAGGGTTATGCAGGACAGGGCAAGGTTCTGATCTATTGTTCACAGACTATGAGTCTGTTTACTCCAGATGACACTTAACAACCTAAAAAGGAAATACTCTACTTTTTCACTCTCAACCCCAAGTTAAAAACATTTTTTTTCAAAATAAAGCACCTTGACTACAAATTTAAGAGGAGCTATACATTAACATAAATTCTGTAACTATTTAGATAAAATATAAATATGGTTACTAAGTTCTATAAAGTTTAAATGATACTTACAGAGGTATCATAGTTCCCAGGTGGTGCAATGTAAGTGACCGTTCCTCTGTTTCGTGGTGGTAACATGATTTTGTGTTTGATAAGTGAGTTTTCATTGACAATTCCATAAATATCTCCACCAGTGATATGACTACCAACCTAGTAAACAAATGCATTTGTTTAATGTTCAAATAAACATCAAATGACCACAATTCTGATTTTTGCCTCACTTACTAATAAAATATACTCATTCCATAACCCTACTATTTAAGACAAATTTAAGCTGTACTTCTACACAGTTCATTTCACATTTAACTTCAAAAATTCTTGGTTAGAGACATACCCGTAGGTTTTTGCAAGGTGTAAAATCCCATTTGATGTCTCTGCTAAGAGCAGATACATTTACTCCTCTGGGGATGTAGATGCTTTGAGTCTGACTGCTGATATCTGATAAAGGTCTCTGAATCCCATCAAAAATAGCTCCCATAATGCCAGGACCAAGCTCTACTGAGAGAGGTTTACCCGTGCGAAGTACAGGATCTCCAACAGACACACCAGCTAGAGAAACCAGTTGAGGAAAGCTCACTGTTAAAGTTTAGAGAAACGATTTAAAAAGGAGCATGTTACACATAACAGCCCAAATCAGTGCTTCCCAAATCTTCTTGATTAACAGCATCCTTAATGTTTCAATAATGTTTGCACAATGCCCTAGGCCAAAAGAAGTAACTACCAATTCTAATTATTAAAGTTAAATCCAGGTAACACAGCAACATTACAGATTCTCTTGTCCAGTGCCACTGAGTTACACACATAAATCTGAAGAAAAAGATACCATCTTGAGGTCATTCTTAAATAACTACATTTCTCATTAATGGAAATGTATCTGCCCACTGGGCACTGTATAATTTTTAAACCTTAGAATCAGGATGAGATGCTTATCCCTCAAAGACTCAGAATTAACAGCTGTTGTTATTCTGCTTATATCTTCCTCAACAATTTCTAACCTTTTAAAGGAAATTCTAATTACATATCTGAAGAACTACTGAAACATTAAGAGCAGCAGAAGTTCAGAATATTAATTATTTTGAGAGAGAACACAACCTTCTAACATCTTTCTCCTTTTCTTCAACATATATCTGTAAAAATCAATGTTAGGTTGTTGGGTTTTGTTTTTTTCAATAACACTAGTATTACATACTTGAAACAACATTACTTGGTAGTATAGTCCATAGGCAGTTGGATGATTTGAATCTGCCAGGTGCTCCCGTGAAAAAAGGTGAGCAATCCACTTACGTGTGATTGATAGCTCTCTGAAAATCCACTGAGTTGGTTCTGACGTGACAGTAATGAGGTTTTCTGTCTACTTTTCAATTTTTTTTTTTAATTTAGGTTGTTTATTTTTCATTTCAATGAACATCTACAGAGATTTTGGGATTCCATTCATTCATTGTTGCACCCTTCTCCCCGCACA